TTAAATCATTTTTCTCCACTTTTTCAAAAATCTGTTATTCTGGTGAAAGATTCTTTACAAAAAAATGCCTGGTCTCTTTAAAATGACTTTCTTATGTATACAAGAAATTTTACTTGTAGTCTTATCTCTGTCCCATAATGCTTGTTACATTTAGTGTATAAAATATGTAAACAAATGTAACATCTGCTTTGCCACAGCATTTTTCTAAGAACAATTTAAAATGATAGTGTGTGGGTCTATACTGTTCAGCACTCAACTACTTTCTCGCCTCTGCCTAGATTCACGTCACTTATTGATGAAGAGGAATTTCATTATAAGACATAAAAATCAATTTCCTTCCTCTTCTTCCACTTCTTTCAACAACAACAATAACAACAATCTATGTAATCAAATGTGTTACTTTTATTTCTTTATTTGTCCATAATTTCTGCTATGCTAAAAATAAAAAAAAAACTTTTAAAACCAGTGAGGGAATCCTGCACTGATTTTTTTTTTTTAACATCCAAGGTAAACAGACAATTAGCAAATCCACTATGCCACCATAGCATTTGTTAAAATTTTGTTAAAACTTTCACTAGATTAGACAGTCTGCTGATGCTATGTAGCAAGTTAATGATTGATACTTTAATCTTAGCTCTACTTCTTGTACATTTACCATGATTCTAGACAGAAGTTTCATTCATATGTAAATAATCTTGTTGCTTGATTCACACTCCTTTTGAACAGGAGTAAAGGTCTATCCCTGGTTTCCTGTCTAGGCATTGGGTTTCCGAGTCCTTCTTCTAAAGTCTTCTCATTTTCTTTCAACCCAGGTAACCTCTTGCATCTTAGTGGCACTATCCTTTTTCTTGGGGGGAAATGATTTTAAAAAAACAATTTATGCAAGTAATGATAATAAATTCCTGGATTAGTAATTGTTAACAAAGGCAAAATATTTGTCAGACACTAAATTCTAATCTTTGGCAGTCATCTGAAAAAGAATAAAAAGCTAGAAAAATATATGGATTTTGTTAGAGAAGCAAAAATATTGTAGAACATTACAGTATCAGTTGTACCCATCATTATTGGAGTACTTTGAACAGTTCCAAGGAGACTTGCAAAAAGATTAAAAGAATTGGAACTCAAAATAAATATTGACACCAACCTGATGGCAACATTACTAAAATCAACAAGAATACTGAGGAGAGTGCTGGTGTATTGAGACTTGCTGTCACTTAATTCACAAGATTTTATAATAAGAATGTTATCTAATCCATTAAAAACTTTTTAGAATTAAACTTGAATTGTTGTTTTCTTGCTATCGTTATTGTCAGTAATGATCAAGTCAATAAATACATTGCTGGAAATCACAGTTAATATTTATTGAATTTCATTTAATGTTAAAACATCTATGAATTGAGGGAATAATTTCTTAATATTTTCAGTCTCAGATTCAATCAAATCTTGTTTTTATTCTAACTCCCTATTTTTGGATCATTTTCATCCTGATTAATAATCAATGTATACAATTAAATGAACAGGAAAACTGTAAAGAAGAATGCTGTTCAATACAACCAATCAATACATTCAACTATCATTCATCTTGTCAGGATGCACACACACACACACACACGTTTCCTTCTTTTCACTGTTTTGCATAATTTTTTCTTTCACTATTTAAGTGTATCGACTACCTGTTTTAAAACTGGTCAAATCTTTCAACTCAAAGAATAGAATCTTAATATTGCTCATTGTGTTTAGGATTTAGATCTTAAATTAAAAAAAAAAAAAATACACTTGGTGTCGGACCTAATATGATACTAATGAAGCTTAATCTCAGAGAGGCTCCTGAAGCAACTTTTTATGAGTGAATTTTTAAAATATAATCAATGTCTTTTCTAAAAAAAAAAAAAAAAAAAAAAAAAAATGGGTGTTAAAATAAGGCCATTTTAGTATTAGAATCATAAACCAATTATGATAAGCTAATATTGTTCTTAGAATATTCATTTCATATAACCTCAAAATTCCCCTGTAATTGGTCAAATTTCAAAATTGCCTTAGGGACTTACAGCACTTGTACCCCCCCCAGCTCTATGGGCTCATCAAGCTCACCAGAATCTATTCTTAACCTACATTTTGGCTATTGGATACTTGAATCAATTGTTGCAAAGGGGACACCATATCTATTCAAACTTCAAGGCCCCCAAAATGTGGGTTCGACACTACTCACAAACATATATTCACCCATTTCGGTTTTATGATCTTCAGGGTGAGAGTGACAAAATAAATTACTTTTTCATTTTCTCCTCATCCTGGGTAAGATGATAAACTATGTCTGCATCCTGGGTAAGATGATAAACTACATCCCACAGCAAGGCCTCTGATCAGGAGGTTTGGAAGAGTGCGGAACCACTTAATTGCTGGTGTTCCCAGGTCCCATCTACGGGCAAATATTTAATCTCCAAACTGGGGCCAAATCTCTATTAAAGTATAAAAATAGATTTTTATAGTAAAAATACCAGCCAAAAAAAATATCTTTTAATACCAACAATAAATTTTTGAGAAAAAAAATATTAGCAGCAATAAAAATCTTGTCAGCATTAAATAACGCATTGAGGCTGATATGCTGTAAAACAAAACAAATCAAACCATTTTCTCCATGAATCAAACCAGTCTCTACAGTTGAGTACCACAGGCTCTTTGTGAATTATGCCCCCAATATTAAAAAAAATCTCTTCTATTATGTCAGAATCCATATTTACAACAGTCATCATTTTCTTGGATTCAAGATGGATGGTAGGATTTGTCTGATCTCAATCTTTATTGTAAGAAATCTCGTTTAAAATTCTTGTTTATGAGCAAATATCTCTGCTTTGAGCCTCTTCCTCTGAGATGAGTTTATTTATTTCTTTGTACTAGCGGAGACTTTAAATAACTACTTACCTACAATGTTGCTATTCGGACACTGAGCTTAGAAGAAAAAGAAAAAAATAATCAGTTAAATTTTGTATCAAAAGGAAAAAATGTTAGTGAAAGTCTATTTGTGGTCATCTAAGTAGACATGAATGACCTGGATGACACCTGACCTATTATCAAATACCCAAAATGGATTGCTTTACAAGTATAAACTACTCTGTTATTCACTCATTGCTAGATGAGAAGTAAATGAGGAGCAGATTAATGTCTTCACCCCACAAGAATATGAAAGCAAAGTGACTGACCATTAGACTACCTAAATATTTATTGTATATCTTCTTTTTTTTTTTTTTTCATTTCACCCCAAGCAAGGCAATAAAGCTACTAAGATGTTAGGGGTTACTGAATGTTACTATTAAGGAGTGAGGACAGTAAAAGAACAGGAATTAAGAAGACAGAAGATAACATTTGACAATGCATTTTAAATTTTTGAAGACCAAAGAAAAAACAAAAAACTTTCCTTATATATATATATATATATATATATATATATAAAGGAAAGTTTTTTTTTTTTATATATCCCACATGGCTGAAAATATAAGAAAAAGAAGTTGAAAATACAACTGGAATCTTTAAGAATATTTACAGTACCTTTACTGGTTTTACAGTTCTATAATGTTCAAAAGTTAAATTGAGATTGAGAGATATGTGGCTATGCCATGATATCTCTCACATCAGTTATATATAATGTTTAAAATGTTCTATTGCTATAAGAGAAGAATACTCAATATGAAGGACAAAGCATTTGTAAATAGAAGCTGTCACCATGCAGTGTTGATTTCTATAATTAGCATCTAGTTATATCTATGTATCTAAATAGTAGCAGAAGACCCCAGTATTGCCTGGGTCAAAACACCGATGAGGTAACATTAATTGCATCACAACAATCACATGTACACAAATTAACTTGATTTTGCTTCAACATTCATAAAGGCTTCAGTTTAGTCAGTCAGTTATGTGCCATGTGTGATACTCCGCTTAGGCAATCATGTATCTTTCAATATATGACTGAGGAGGCAGATTTTTTCCCCGCAGTAGATTGCCATTTCTTTCTGCGGTAGACCAGTTACCATCCAAGGCTATAGAACCCGGTCTGTCCTGCTATTTACTCATATCGGGGTGGGGAGAAGAAGAGGATTCATACCTTTTTCAAGGGTCAGTCAGTTATGTGCCATGCGTGTTACACGCTTAGGCGATCATGTATCTTTCGATACATGACTGACGAGGCTGATTTTTTTTCATGCAGTAGGTTACCATTTCTTTCTGCAGTAGACCAGTTGCCATCTAAGGCTATAGAACTGTCCTGCTATTTACCCATAGCTGGGGAGAGAAGAGGATTCATACCTTTCCAAAGGGTATTATCACGTAAGTGAATGTAATGTATTTGATTGGAATTCAAACTCGGCTCTCCAATTCCTCAATCCAAGCCACTATCTATTACTCCATCGTGCCTCCTCAACATTGTTTATATCATGAATTGAACTTCCATTGTCATAAAGCTAGGCATAAAGTCAGTGTTCATTTCTGATTCATATGTACATTGTAAATCAAACTCATATTTTAAAGAAAAAGAGATATTGGAATAAATAACTAAAATACTTCTATTTTAAAAATTTTATTTTCAAGAACTGCTAAGTTGGACAAGATATAAAACACATGCTGGTAGCTGTAAATAATAAAACTGCATTTATTTGACGTTACAATTTTATATATTTGCATGCACACACAGAGAGACAATCAACTTTATATATTTAATTTTCAGGGTTTCTGGCAAACACACACAAACTGTGAACTTTATATATTAGATGTAGATACAAAACACCCAATGCATTTTGGGAGGCAAGATCTTTTCAATTTTATACCAAAGAAATGTCTTTTTTATGCTTGATGTTTGGTCATTGGATTATAATTTGGGAAGTTAGTTGAACTAAGAACTTTTCAGTACAACTTGTATACCTTATTTCACCTTTATAGAATTCTTGTAAGTAAAAAAAAAAAGAAAAAAAATATATTCAGATAACATTTTTTTCTTTTAATCCTTTCAGAACATTTGCATCGGACAAGTGGCCTTCTGTTGAAAATTGAGCATGATGCCCAAAAACACAGAGACAGCAAATGCCGTGTTTTTGACTTTCACAGCGTCAAGTTTCCGCCTGAAGCAAAGTATGAAAAGGTTGTGTATTGATTGTTTGTTATACTCTTTTTGGCAACATTACCCCAGGGCAGTGTTTCTTCTTCATAAACCTACCCCAGACTGATGGATTTGCTTATTGGAATTTAGGGTTACTATAACAATAGGCAGGTGTTTTTTCTTTCTTTGTAATTTTTTGAAATAATATTTTTCAAGTTATCCAAGTAATTGAGTGCTTATAAAACAATGAATCAAAGTTAATACAATATAGAGAAAAAAAAACAGTTTATCACTAGCAATAATCATAAAGACATTTAAGGTTCATGATTTCTGTGAATTCATGGACAGTCATCAAGTTTTAAATCTTTGTTGAATTAAATTTAGTAGAAAATTGGATTGAAGAAGCAATTTAAAACAATACTCAAATTCTTGAGTTTCAGAACGTGACCTCAAGTCACATTTCAGTCAAATTCTTGATCCAAATTTTTCTGTGTTTATTGAATGAATGAATGAATTGATTGATGACAACCCCCCCCAAACAAAGAAAACTGCAAAATAAAAGAAGGAGGGGGAAAATCCCAAATTTATTGACATGGTTGTTGATTGGGAATGAAAGTTGATCAATTCTCCTGGCTATAAATTGAATTAGATGATTTCTTTAAATATTTTGAAAATGGCTTTAAAAAAAGAACCCAAGGTTTGTAAGGTTTATTTGACACTCAGTGAAAATTTTTTGAGAATATTTTTTCTCATTGTTCTGTGCTGAATAAATATTACTTTGATAAAGTTCCTTGGAAGACGCAACGCATCAGTAAAGATAAGTTTTCCTTTCATCTTTATTCATATTGCCTTTTGACAGATATATTTTATTTTAATCTGAATTTTGACACACACAATAAAAATATAGTTTTAAGGTATGCTATATTCATGGGTAAAAATGCTCAATCACACACACACACACACACACACACACACACACATATATATAACACAACAAAATTCAGTGCTCTGTTATAATAAATACATTAAGCTCTTTGTGGATCAGTTTTAATATTTGATATTACGAGGATCCACTTGGATTATATACAAACAAATTTATTACCTGTTATATATAATATATATATATATATATATATATATATATATATAATTCTAAAGAATAACTGGATTTATTTTTAATCCAACATTTTTATTACTTCAAAAATTATTATTAGTGGGTACTCATATTTGAAATAGATGCCTTATTTTATTCTATTTTTGTTTTTAAACAGTAAGAATTACATCTATCTATTACATCTATTTCTATTAATTAAGAAAAGGTGCTGGTTTGATCACTGCCAGAGAGAACATTTTTGCTATTAAAATTTCTCAAATGCACAGCCTGATAAAACTATCATCTTCCATAGTTTACCTTGAATTTCACTATTAGCCTTATGAATATTTTTTAGTATTCTTAAATTAAAAAATGTTTAAATGATATTTTTTTTTTACTTCTGTTTATAAATACATGTTGCGAAATAAAATCTTTACATTTGCCTTGATAAAGTCTATCAGAGGATGAAATGCATTGTTAAAAAAAAAAGTTTTCCTGTTGGCTTCATTCACTTATGTGTTAATACCCTCAGGAAAGGTTTGAATCCAGCTCTTCTCCCCACAGCTATGGGTAAATAGCAGGACAGATTGGGTTCTATAGCCTTGGGTGGCAACCAGTCTAAGGAAAACTCTGAATTCAAAACATGTGAAGAGTTGTTTGGGGACCTTGTGGCATACTGTGCACCAGTTCTTGATATTTGACAAAAAAGTGTGGTTGGCTCTGCATCAGTCTTCACCACAATAATCAAATGATATCTGCAGGTAGTCTGGCTGTTCAAAGAACTGAGCTTCTTGACACTTATATGTTGAAAATAACAGAAGAGTCCATATATATATATATATATATATATATATATATATATATATATATATATATATATATTATATGATTAAAATATGTCTTATTTTTTTCAATAAATTTTAAAAAACCTTTCCATAAAAAAAAAAAAGAAAGATATTCAGCACCAATAATGCCAATTATTTTAACATTTTCTACATAACTATCCAAAATCTAGATATACAGAGTGCCTCAGCCCCCCCAAAAACCCAGAAAATTTATTTAATTTATGTTACAGATATTATAAACAAAAGCAGATGATAGAAAATTTAGTAGCTTAAAACAGAACAAAAACACAAATGTTATATGTGGTGTTCAAACTAAAGAACCCTGGTGAAATGTCTTGGCATTTTTTTCAGTTCCCAATTTTAATGTTCTTTCTTAAAGAGCACAATTACTTTGCATTGAAAATTTGATAACTGGATCATCTTGGAACAACAGATTGTTAAAAAATTTATGTTAGTTTTTTTTTTTGTTTTTTTTAGTTCATTCATATAGTAAAATTTTTTTATGTAAGTTAATTTTTTTCATCATATAGTAAATCTAAAATTTTGTTTTTTTTTTTTGTGGGTCATTCTGTAATTTGTATAAATAGTTTCACCTCAATCCTGAAGTTCTCATTTTACTTCATTTCCAATGTCACTAACCTCTTGGTAACATACTACCATTTTCTTCAGATTATATTTTAATTCTTTCCTCACCAAAATTTCACCTGGTGTTTTATTATAGATTCTGTCAGGAATAAAATATTGACTTTGTTGTTTCATAAGTTGGACTGAATAATTGATTGATTGATTTTTTTTTTTTTTTTTTATGGCGTATCAACCCTTTTCAGGTTATTAAAAGCCAGAAAATATTTTTAGATATTAAGAACTTTTGGAGATAATAATGATTTATTGATGCAAGTCATATTAATTAACCCATAAGTGGGGGGAGAAGGGGTGGATTCATACCTTTCCCAAGGGTATTTGTGCATAAGAGAATATAACTGGAATTGGCTCTCCAATTTCCAATTCAGAGTTGTTATCCATTGCACCACTTGCCCATCCAAACTTATGGCACCTGGTATTCCAAAATGATCACCCATGTAGGTACTGACCAGGTTTGATATTTGGTGATTATACAAGAACCAGGATTTTCACCTGATATGGCTGCAAGCATTTATATTGAATAAAAGCAGATATTTACTTAATGAGTTTGTTTTTAATTTTGATATCAATTAGTAGTGAAAACATTTATTCTGAAAAGGGGTCACTTGGTAATAGACAAAGTTGTCATCATATCAAAAATGTTATTAAATATATTTACCTGAGTTTCTGAACCCCATTGTATCCTAAAAATGCTTAAAGGTAGAAATGAATATATATATATATATATATATATATTTTTTAATTTAAAATGTTTTGAGTGACTTTAATGTGAAATGATGAATAGATATGCCTACATTCTATCTCCTCATATGAATAAATTAATTTTGGAGTTGATTACGTCTAAAGAACATGATCTTGATTTATTTTTTATAAATAGCATGTTTATGAAGGATGCAATGGGTTAAACTCTGAAGTTGAAAGTTTTTGTTATGTTGAAGACATTTTAAAATTTTCTCTTAATTTGTAAAATATTTTAAGTATCTACTGACAAAATGATCTTTTTACTGAATTTTGTTTAAATGAACAGGATTTTAAATGTTTACTCAGTACTTTTTACTATCCTTTTCTTCTTTTGTGAATAATGTTACTTAATATTAACTGATCTGGTTCAGTTTATAGTTGTACAAATTATTTTTTTTTATTTTGCATGTCACACATGAATATTTGGATTTACATAAAAGAACAAAACATTTAAAAAAATTTTTTTTTTTTTTTTTTTTTTTTTTTTCAGAAATATATTCAGTATAATTTTTTTACCTATTTCCAAAAATTCAAAACTCATGTTTTCCAAGTAAAATTAATTGCTCTCCCTGGAGGTGTCAACTCCACGTATATTGTGACTGCTTATGGTGAGTATTTGCATTTCAATTTCATTTCTCTTTTTTTCTTTTCTTTTCTTTTCTTCTTCTTTTTTGTCATCTCTGTAAGTACACAATTCTCCCCTTTCCCTCCTATAATTGACTAGACTGTACTCACTGGCTTCATTTTGGACAATATGTGATCATTGCTCTCCACAATATCTTTTTCTTTAATAACTATGAATTGTGATTGTTCTTGGTTTCCCATTTCCTTCCACACAGTTTTGAATTCTCCTAAGCCGTTGCCAACCAAGGCTAGAAAATACAATCTGACCTGCTACTTCACCTATAGCTAGAGGTTAGAAGTGATGTCTTTCGACAATAGTATCAGTGCAAATTGAATGCAAACTGCTTCATCTGGAGTTTGAACTCAGTTTGCAAGTTTCATTCTTTATTCTCATTAATCCTGTTGGCCACTTTGAATAGTTTTTTGGAAAACTCTTAATTTTCTATACACAAAGTCTCTAAGCCTTACATTTTAGTTTCATTTAGAATTTGAAGACAAAATTGAATTCTTATACAACAGTTTATAGCATCTTTATTTTTGTGATTGTGTAAGCAAATGGATTTTAACACATAACCTATGCTGTCTTCTACATGCCACATCCCTTTAGATCATAGGCAATTATGGCTCCCCCAATCATTCTATTCCTTTTCTTCTTTTGCTAAGACTTCTATCATTTATTCACACAAGCCCATCTGGTATGTGACTCACCTTTTTTCTCCTATCTCTCTTGCCCATAATATGCCTTGTGATGGTTAAGTTTTCCAATCCCTCTTTCCTCATTGTGTCCAAAAAAATTCAGCTGTCTCTTCCTGAGAATAAGCTTTTTTTTCTTACTATTTTCTTTTAGACTTGCTTATTACTTACTCACTCTGTCAATGGAATTCTCAGTATCCTTCTGCAGAACCATATTTCTGTTGTCTCCAGTTTTCTCCTCCTCCATGGAGGAGAGATTGTTCAGCTTTCACTGCCATATTATATTAGGATGGATATCACATAGCACATCCAGTGTTCTTTTTCTCTGTTTTTTTCATCATCTTGCTAAGCTTTTCAAATTCACTCGTCCGGTTCATGTTCGAATTTCAGTGTCACATTTTGCATCCTCTGTTAAAACACTTCTCACATATTTAAACATCTGCACTTACTTGATGTTGACATCTCCGGTTTGTAACTCACATGGGCTTTTTCTCTTGCTGGTGACCACACTTTCTGTCTTCTTGCAGTTCAGGGCTAGTCCTTTTTTTTTTTTCTCCCTTTATTTTACTACTCTCTCTAGGAGGGCTTGTAGTTTTCTTTCTCTGTCAGTCATTAACACACTGTCATCTGCATATCTTATATTAAGATTACAACCACCAACAATAATACCTGGTAGTCTTTCTAACTCCTTTAGGATAGCATCGCTGTAGAGGTTGAATAAACCCCTAGAGAAGACATGTCCCAGTCTTATAGCCATTTCTATTTTTGTGTAGCTACTCAGTTTATTTTCTATCTGTATGCAAATGGTTAATGCTTGTTTTCCAGTTTATAGGCAAGTATTTCTTTTTAACTAAACAAACTTGAATTCTTATAGCCTTCTGCTGGTTATCTTGAAAACAGAAATATGTAAAACTCATCCCCAAATTGGAAGGAAGGTGAAAGTTCACTTTTTCATTAAAATGACAGTGTACATTAATAACTCTGCTGTGTATGACACGTGACTCAGCCTTTGTAGAGGAATGGTGTTATTCTGAAGCATTTTTTTTTTATTTGCAGTAAATCCTCTGAAAGTAAACAAGAAGAGGACAATAGCTGTTTCTGTTGGCACAGAGAGCAGCAGCCTCCACGTTGTGTTTGAACCGAGTCGCCAGTATGTGGCTGACAGTTACAACGTTAGCTTAATTCAGTTCTCTCACCCTAGGGACCCCTATTCCTCTCGGATTGTCCAGCAGCAACAGGTAGGCATAATACTCCTCAGATTTCCAGTGCTACTACTGAATTGGTTTTAAGAATTATTTCCAGACAGCATTTCAAGACTTTGACATTCTCTTGAACTGAATGCCATCAAAATAATTTCTAAGTTGTCATGTTGAGGATTTCAAGGAGAACCCATTGTATCCTAAAAATGCTTAAAGGTAGAAATAAAGCAGTATATAATTTTTTTTTTATTTAAAATGTTTTGAGTGATTTTAATGTGAAATGATGAATAGATATGCCTACATTCTATCTCCTCATACAAATAAGTTAATTTGATAAACAGTTTGAAATTTTCTTAAAAAATTTATCTTAACTTTTGTTTTTTGTAAATTTTCTAACATTTTACTTGGGCTCTGACTGTATAAATATTCATTAAATCTTTAATGCATTTAATTGAAAAATTCTTCTTTTTTTTTTTTTTAATTTGAAGGAAAGATAACATAACAATTTTTTTTTTTTTTTTTTAATTTTTTTTTAATCAATTTCTTATTTTATTGCTTTTCTGAAATAAAATATTTATGCCAGTCAAAAATATTACAAAGAAGTGTAAACTAACATATTGGATATGTGTTGATAAATTTTAATGAGATTAGAAATGAGTAATCATTTCTCTTTTTACCAAATCATTAACCTGAAAACTCAAGTCATATTCTTAAATAGCTTTGTCAGATCAAGACTTTCAAACCCGTTCAGAAATATCTGAAATGTCAGCTGTATATAACCACTTTCTAAGATCAATGGTTAAAAATTGCTTTGAGTGAATGAAGCTTGTGGGTCTTGGCAAAGATCATCCTTTTTCAAACCTTGTGGATTGGCATTACATAATCACAAAGAACTGTACCAAATAACAGAAACCATATCACTTGAGAATTTTCAACAGCAATAATAGCTAAATTAAATGTCACATGCAACTTGAAGAGGAAATAATGACATAATCAAGATGTTGACATTCCACACTATTTCAGACAAAAGGTTAAGATGGACCCCACCTCCATACTGGAAAGAGCAATAACAGCTACTGGACCAGAGAAACTTTTTTTTTCCCTGTAAAATTGTTTTAAGAGAAAGATCTTAAAGATTTCAAATGACAAGTTGCTTGGTTAATGAATGCTAAATGTTTCCTTACAAAGAAATGGCTAATGTTACTATTAGCGTGGTATTGATCAATTTTTATAAACTTGGTTCTACTATATATAAATTCATTGCAAAATTCTCTTTAAAAAATCCCCTGGATTCTGTGAGAGTGAGACTATAAATTATAAAGGCTAGAGAGCCCAGTTTACCCTGCTATTTAACTCATAGCTGGGGGAAGTAGAGATCTATTCCTGCTTCGAATGCAACAGACTAGTTGGGGATTTGAGCTTGGCATGCTGATTCCATTCTGTGTTGATAGCCATTACACCACCTGCACATCCTAAATAATATGATAATAATAATAATAAACTATTAAAAACTTACCCAGAAATATCATAGATTTCCAGCTGTCTGCTCCCAACTCCTTCCATGACAACTGTGACTGTACACTTCTTTGCCTTGTCTTACCAGCAAACCTTTTTATGCTATCCCTTCATCTTCTCTCTCATCTTTTGTATCATGCATTGGTTACCATTCAACCAACATTTTTTTTTTTTTTTTTTTTTTTAACTCAAGCTGTTCTTCTTTCTTAAATGTCATGCCCAACTCCATTTTGTTATCAATTCTGTCTCTTATTCTTGTTGGTTCTCCATCTTCATCTCTTTCTGCCTCATAGAATTATCCCTAGCATTGTTCTTTCTCATTGATCTTTAAAAATTCCAGATTTGTTCTAAGCAGTTATTATTAATGCCCGTGTATCTCACACGAAATGTCAAAGCTAGCATTTTACAATTATTATACACTTTAGGCTGGTTGTCAAAATGCTTTTCGTTTGCTACCAATCTATATTGCATTTAATTTAATATACATACTGAAGAAAGTTAGCATTGTGTAAGGGGAATAACTCCTAATTTATAAGGTTATCTCCCCTATTCGTGTAATGCTATTGATTTAAATTACAAATATTTACTACAGGTTGGATATTAAGTAATGATGAAGTATAAGAATTAGTATGCTATATGCGCCATATTATTTTTAGCTTTTTTTTTTTTTTTTTTCTCCCTACAAACAACTTTTAGGATATACATCAATTTTTCCTTTTGTATTTTTTTCTCCTACCAGTTGGCTGGCAACCAAACTGAGGCCGAGTTTACTGATGTTCAACCTGGTTATTATCAAATTCAGGTAAACTGTTTTTTCTTTCCATTTATTTTTAACATTTTTTTTTTTTTGTTTTTAAACATTTGTTAAAATCTTCCCTGATTTTGCATTGGGGAATGTAGTGTTGTACATTGTGGTTATTTTAGAAGTATTTATAAAATTGAAATTTGTTTTACAAAACTGCATGTATGTGTATGTATAAATTTTGATAGTTGTTAAGACAAAAAAAATGCAACTTTTTTTTTTTTTTTTCTTCAGGTGAATGTCATTAGTTCTGATTGTGAAGTGCAGACTATGAACTCAACCTCATTCACAATGGGTAGCCCTTTAAAAAATGGTGAGTAAACATGTTCTTTGCTTAACCACTTGTGACTGTCAAATGTTTTTAAAATAGACAAACACAAACATGCTGCAATAAACCAGGTAAAATACTACTTGATTTAAAAAGTATAGGTTGAAACAAGGCGACAAATGAACATTCATGATGGGCACAAAAAGGTTCTTGTTTTACTTTCTCACTCATTTGTAATGTTGATATGTGTTTTATCACCCAGCTCATGATTGGGTTTTTATATAAACTAAGGCAATTAATCTTAATCTCCATCTTTCTCTATAGGATGATAGATATTTATGATAATAGATATTTATTATCTAGATCAGAGTTTTTAAAAAAAAAAAAAGTCTGTACAAAATTATGAATGATTATATGAAGATTGTGTAGCGCTAATCTCCTACTTTCAGAATCAGCATTTGAAATGATGACTTTTATTTGTGTTAGAATACAGACCACAGGTGATAATCAGAAATATACAATTACTTTAGTCATTAATCAGACTACTTATATTTTTTTTCTCTCAGTCTTAAGTTTTTTTTCCTGTAGAAGGCCAGATATTTATAAGGCTAATCTGGTACATGGTTAAACATGTGGAGTACCAAGTAACAATTTGAATACATTACAACAGTAATGGTCTGCTAGAGTAGCTTGTGAACCATTACTCTATGGTGAGTATTCTAAATTGTTTTTTCAAATTCTATTGGCTCTGAAGAGTGTTTGCTTATTGAAGATTTCATGACATTTCAATAGGTCACCCCCAACATGATTGGATCAGGATGCTGACATAAAAGTAGATCAGGGATCAGCAACCTCTTGAAGTGAGAGGGCCAGAAAGCTATGCAGTGTCTTATAGGAAGGCTATGATATCAAATTTACTATAATAAATTGTCTCTAACCCTGACTGCTATGTCCAGAAGATTTCCTTGGTTGGTAGGTTGAAAGAAAAAAAAAACCAACTAAGTTAATGTTATTATTTAAACAAATTTCCTTATTTTACTGCAGGTATCACAGGATAACAACTAACACAACAAAAAATGCAAATTCCTTACTACAAACGAAATACAGTTAAAAATGGCAAATTATTTAATGAGACACTTGTTTCTGCTTATAGTTTGATAACTTCTCCACATCAGGTGAAATATTTGTTGGCAACAGGAGCAAAACATCATCCAGGTGGTCATCACCCAACCTTGTTCAAAAAATGATTTTAGTATATTTCATCTTGGAAAAAGTTGTTCACAAACATATGTACTTCGAAATAATGATACCATTCTTTTATATTTTCTGGTTGGCAAAACATATTTCTTGTAGAAGTCAGCAGTGGATTTGAAATTGCATTTTGATTTTAAAAATTCATCACATTGTAAATTGATTAATTCCAATTGATATGTTTCTGCCACTTGCACTACAAATTAAATAACTTGTGTTAAAGTTGGCAGGCTGAACAAAAATCTTTTACAGACCAGATGTGCCCCTGGGGCTGTGGGTTGCTGACCCCTAAAGTAGATAGTAAATAATTTTATCTGAGTTTGAAGTGTCTAATATTTTTGTTGACCAATTGTAAAATCTACAAAGGGAGTTATTCAAAGCAGCCACCCACTTGATTGAAATGAAATAAAATAGTTAAATCAAAATTTTTGGGAACAGTGCCATTTGGCTGAAAGTTAGAAAAATCCATTCGCAGGTTGAGTCACAGAATTGAGGGTAGTTTCGATGCCACCCATTGGTAAGGTACAAGCTGTCTTTCAAGAGTGCTCTGGGCCATGTTGTGATGTAGAGATTGGAAGAGGAGTGGTAAGAGAGTTGGAGTTCTCACTGACAAAAGGGAAAATCTTCACCTTGATGTTGTAGATGTTTTAAATGTCACCTACTTACCCCCCCACACACACACCTTATTCCCCCCCTGGGCGGGAGGCCATATAAGTAAATATTTTAATAAAGAACCAAGTATATAAAAAATAAGATTTGTGTTTTTCATTTTTCATCGTAACATTAATTTCTTTTTTTTGTTTTCCTTGTGAATGTACAACCAGTTTTTGTGTACATTGATGCAGACTAGAAACGAAACTGAATTTGTGTGAGTGATGTGTCAAGTTAGTGAAAGACAGAAGAGAATATATCTCCGAGATGTTTGTTTACAGGATCAGATGGGGTTAAATGTAAATAGACGAATGTCTTATCAAATAAGGAATTTGCCAACGATATCAAAAAATGGTTACAATATTCACTTTATAATGTTGAAATTGGTTCTGATTGGTCATGATTTTTTCTTTTGGTTTCTTATAATAAATCCATAATTTTTTTTTAATCACTTATCACTGATTTTTCCTAAGCAAGAAGAAAAAATTGTTTAAATTCTAACAGATGTTCTTTTCATAGCAAATTCCTTTTTATTGCTTCTGAGTATTAAAGAGTTGTGTAAAATTCAAAGATACTTCTAAGATTTCTCTAGCATTGTTTAAAAGATGCTGATGGGAATTTTTGCATCAACCTAATATTTACACAAACCACAGGAGTATAATAAATTCTGTTATAACGCAAACTAATTTCATGTAATTTTGTGGCATAAAAGTTGATAAAATGTAATGGATTTTTGTTTTATTTGTTGCAGGCCGCAGTACCTCTAGTAAAACATTAACAACCACTACTGCTGTATTGAAGCATAGAATAAGTAGTACCTCAGGTATAGTGAAGACCACCACCTCTGAAACAAGGACAATTAGTCACCAACAAGGTAACAATTCTTTGGCTTTCTCTGTTCTTGATTCTTGAAGATTAATTTCATATTTAGTGTTTGTAAGAACATCTTTTAGAAGAATTTGATTACTGGTAAATAAAGAGTTGGATTAGACCAGAAATGAAATATTGTTACCATATTTGGGCTGGAGCTTTCCAGTATTGATAGAGTACAAAATTGTTTATGTGGACTTGTGGGGGTGATGATTTAGTTTCCACTCTGCAGCCTCTTTCCTCACAGGTGCAAAGTTGCAAATCTATCCTTATTCTATTGCCTGTTCCCATAAAAAATGTTGAGGTGAGCTCCATTCTTTAGAAACATATATTCAGACCATTACAGTGCGGACATCATTTTACAATCACTTTCATTTTCCTCTGTATTCAATTTGTAAGGAGGAAGTTCTAGTCAGACAGCTTTTTCTCCAAAATTACTACTTTGTGGAATGGGTGCCTGCTTAAAAGTTTCCCTAAACATTACAATCTTAGCTTCTTTAAGTCATGGAGCAATCATTGTCCATCCTCCTCATCCTCACTTTTTCATTCATATTCTACACTTCATTCTTCATTATCATTTTAACAGTAACACTTTACCTTGTGTAACTCTTGAGCTTTTTACTAGGTGGACTTTAGTTGAAAAAAAATAAAAAATAAAAATAATTATCCATTTTGTTTATAAAAATAGGAAGATTTCAATTTCAGGGTAAAACCATAAGATGCTTTCCCATTTGCTAATGATCTTGTTGTTCTTGTTCTGTTTAGACCTGCTAGCATGAACTTTGACTTTCAGGACTTACCTTGCCACTTTTGGATTATTTTTCAATTGACTTTTATTGTTATTTTCTCTCACAATTTTTAAGCCTATTTTATGTCTCATGATGTCATGGAAATAAAAAAGAAAACATCTTCTCTTCCTGTTCCATGCTATTTATTCAACAGTCATGGAATAACAAAATGAACTGAGAATGACAGTAAAGAGCAACAAAATGATCCGAGAGTGACAGTAAAGAGCACCAAAATGATCCGGGAGTGACAGTAAAGGGCACCAAAATGATCCGGGAGTGACAGTAAAGAGCACCAAAATGATTCGGGAGTGACAGTGAAGAGCACCAAAATGATTCGGGAGTGACAGTGAAGAGCAACAAAATGATCCAAGAGTGACAGTAAAGAGCAACAAAAATAAGAGGAAAGAAAAACTATTCAAAAATGAATAATAATGTTCATGTACATGAATGCATATTCTCATAAAATAATTTTGTTTTTTAACAAATTACTTGCTGTTTTTTTATCATGAACTGATGTGAATGGCACAAGACTAGCCATTCTGCTGTTCATTTGATTGTTTCACTGCAATCCTAAATTCTCCCTTTTTGTTTGCTTATTTCTCTTTTTTTGCCTCTCTAGATGATGTCAAGATTCAACCATCAGACCAGAGTGGTGAATATGAACGCTCCCTTAAGATTATGTTGGGCACTGTTTTTGGTGTGGTGGGCAGTGTCACTATCATCATTGTGGTGTTCTGTATGTATCGCAAGAGAAATTACACTTCTGGTAAATACTTTACTTTTAGTAAATATGGTAGCATTTTTTTTTTTTTTTTTTTTTAATATACATTTATATTCCATCTTTTTTTCATTTTCAATGGACAGATAATTGATCTGCGGCTTTCTAATTCTGTCATATTTTAAAGTTTCTGTCTTTGAAATATTGATGGAATGGGAACACAGCAGATTTTAAATTTTTTTACATCTTTGGCTAACAACATTAGAAAATATAAAGTGGATTGAGTAAAGAATCTCCAATTAAAATACTTTTATGGTGGGGTATTTAATGCCAGGCAAGATACACAAACATGCATCTATCAAAGTTTATAAAATGTGTGTGTGAGAGAGACAGATTCTCAGTTCACTGCATGCCCCAAAATCTGACTAATTTTTTTTTTTTTTTGAGTTTCTTGGTTAGGTCAAAACCTTTTCAGTATCTCCTTATATATAGCCTGCTCATGGAAGATACCAAATGAAGAATGTCTTTGCAATGTGTTATACTAATCTTTACCGATAATAAAAAATATTAATAATTACTTTATCACTGATAACATTGGCATATGAAAATTTCAGGTGTCGTCATTTGTATTCATAAAGCTTAGCAGATCAAAATAATTAATACGAAAGCAAACACTTTCACAAAATGAATCAGTCAGGTTTGTTGCATTGACTTACACACAAATACCTTTGTGCAAGGTATGAATCCATCTACCGTCCCACCAGCTATGGGTTAAATAGTAGGACTTGTATTTGGCAAATTTATTGTTCCTTCTCAAAAAATTATTAATGCAATATTCACTTCCCCACAAATTATTTTTACACTCCTAAATGTATTTTGTCTCTAAATTTAATTGATAAGCCCTGAAATAACAAATCAGTCAATAAATCAACTTTCTTAAAATGGAATTGGTTGCTAAAGATGTCAGATGATGATGCACACTGCAAGTGGTGTAACCAGGTTTGCAACTGTAACAGCAACAAGAAAACTGGTGTAATCACATGACCATAATAATACCAACTATAAGTAAAGAGCAGAAGGCAACTTGATAAATCTGAAAATGAGTTATGATGAAAGTACAGATAATTTTTGACTTACCCTCATATATAAATAATGCAAATTAAAACTTAGGCAAAACAAAGTGAAAGTAATAAGGCAAAAAGTTTAATTGATGATATAAAGATCCAACTTTTTTAAGGAGATAATGTTGTATTCTCTCTGTCTTGGCTGGTAATCACTAGTTGCTTTTGATTCAAGACAGAAAGAACTTCAACACAGTGAATTTTAACTTAGCTAGTTTATTAACGTCAACATCTACATCTTTTAACTATCCTTTGGAGGTGCTTGTTCCAACTGGGAAGACATTTCCAGACATGAAAGAAACGTGTGTACATTGCTTGACGGTTTAGACTCAACTCCCTAAAAAAAAACCTTTCTATATCTCTATCATTCCCATGCTAGTTCAGCCAATCAAAATTGATTTCCTTATTTTATCTTGTATTTGATCCCTAAGGTCAAACTGAGGAAGACAGAGCAGAGATGCACTTTCCCCTAAAAATAATAGTCTGCTAAACTGTTATTTAATATACCTTACCTAATCATTAAAAGAAAATTTATTCATGATTATTTTCATTGAGCCTCGGTCCCATGCACATATTACATTCCTGAAAAACAATCAACATAAAAAAAAAAAACTCTGACCAGTTTTTCACACTTCAAACATTTTTTTGTCAAAACAAATAAACACAATACTGGACAATCCTTTGTCCATTCTTGGTCACTAGCTTCCATGACCCAAGTACAACTTCTCAGATGACAGTTTGGATACAAATCACACCAACAATGAACTTTGACCTCTCAAATGTTTCCTCCACCAGATCACCAGGTACCACCTCTGCAATCCAGTATTCCTGGGGAGAACAAAACTTCTTGCCTCTTCACTTGAGACTACACAAAATGTACATAGAATTTACAGAAAAAATATTGGTCCAAAAATCACAGAATACAAAAACAACCAATTCCATAACTGAGCCACGTCCTTGTCAGCTAAATTTTACACTTTAAATATGTTATGATCTACACTTATTTCCTACTCAGAATGACACAGTACAGACTGTCCTTTATCACCCTATTTATTCAACCCCAGTCAATTAATTACTTTGCTTATTACCAGATTTATTTGAACAAATCTTCACAAATTTACCACCATTAATTTTCTATAATCACTATGATTAAGCATCTGCCTTTGTAATGCCAAAACTCAACTTGCACCATCTCAGTTCCTTCTGCTCTTGTCTCCCCAGCTCATGGGGGAAAAAAACCACACCCACTCAGCATCTCCTAACTAATCCATTACTGGCTCTACCCTGGTTACAAGGGTTTTCTTTCCTTAGTTGTCTACTGTGACCTTGCATCCCACAAGCCACCTAACCAATTCCTTTCAGCTATCAGGGGCCTTCCTTGACCCTGGGGGTATCTTAAGAATATATTCATTCAATACTGAATACTTCATAGTGTACAGTTCTTGTTCTACCCAACATTGTCTTGTTTCTATCTACATAGCCAGGTTGACAATTTCCCACTTCCCTCAAGGACACCGATCCAAACTCATTTGGAAACCTGAAACTATGCAGGCCGAATTTACTTATTCCAACAATAATTAACTTAATATTCCACAAAATTTACCAATTAACAACTTAATTCTTCAGCCAATGAAGGCAAAAGGACACACACAGCTATTAAATTAAAAAAAGAAATTCCACTCACTGTTACAAAAATGAAAAAATACAATAATTTGTCAGTTAATTATGATTAACAAAATCTAAACTTAGAAAACTTGAATGCATATAAAACCATAGTCACAAAATTTTTCAACTCATTAACAATACACAGAAATCACAGTGGGAATGCCCTATCACAAAATGCCATCAGTCTTTCCTTTTCAAAACAATTTTTCATTGTGTTCCCGTAGGCGTATTCAGGCTTCCACATGGCACATCCTCGAGCTTCCTCAAAGGTCAACATCAGGAATATTTATTTACTGGTGAAATTTCCTCCTCCAGAAAATTTTCTTTTAAAACTGAAACTATCATGGCCAGATTTTTCCACAACGAAATAAAAAAAAAATGCCAGACATACAACATTGCCAAGTGTGCCAATCAAAATCAACAATAGATTTTTGCACATAGTTCTAAACCTTTGTAAAAAGACAAAACAACAAATATCAGTCTCTCACTAAAATGTTTCATGAAAATTGACATTGCCACACTAGTGTGTATGTGTAAGTGTTCACTGTGTTCCTTCTTTCTTTTCCCTATTCATCCTTTTTTTTCATTGTCCATCAAACCCTGTTCATTTACTGTTTTTACTTTTTTTTTCTCATTTTTTCATCATTACTTCTTATTTTGATTTGCTGTTTAGATGTGTGTGCATGTGTGTGTGTGTGTGTGTGTGTGTGTGAACAGTAGAACATAGTGGTTACAGTTTTTTGTTTTTTTTTCTGTCCTTATGTCATGATTACTTTTCTATTTCATATTACCTTGTTGAATCCGCCTCTGCAAATTTTCTTTGAACATTACCATGTTGTGTCTTAACCAGCATTCTGCAAATCCAATGCGCGGAGGTCCTGGTCAGCAGTGCCAAATAATTATATTGTTCCATATCTCCCTCTCTCATGCTAGGAGGTCAACATCGCCAGTTTAATACAATGTTGTATCTTCTCTCTCGTCTTCTCTCGGCTGGGGGTTGCAAAAAGTTTTGGGGTCTGGAGATAAGACATTAACAAAGATAATTTTAAACTTATCAACTTTATATGTCGATGTATACATTTTCTAAATATCCAGTGGGGGCACTTTCTCCCCTCATTAGGGAGCAGTTTCCAGACACGAAAGTCAACACGTCTACATTGTTTGAAAAACCTTTCTCAATCTATCATTCTTGTGCTGGCTCAGCTAATCAAAATCAACTTCCTTATTTTGTCTTGTATCTGATCCCTAAACTACAAAAGTCAGAACAGAGCTACACTCCCCCCCCCAAAAAAATAATAGTCTGCTAAACTATTATTTCACAATAACTCTAGTTTATATTAAATGTTAATTATAAAATAGTTTATTTACAAATATTCTTTGATCTCACTTTTCAAATGTCTGTTACTAATTTTTGGTATGTTTATAATGTTTTCTTATCAGCAAAATACATAAGTCACCAATTTTTATGTACTGAACTTTTCTGATGAAATAGTCGAAATAGAATTTTCTTTTATTTGAAGATTGACAAATAAAACACCAGAATTTATGTTTTAAATTAATTTTCACTTGCTGTTAAATGGATAGTAAATTTGCAAATACATTGTATTAAATGAAATCTCAAAAACTTTAATATTGCCTTTCTTTTGTTTGACAGCATGGATAAAATTCTTTTAATTATAGCCTGGAGGTTTATATATCATCAACATACCTCTTTGGTATTAATCAACCTTCTGAACTTGGTAGGATGTGACACATAGTTTAACATGTGAGTTAAGGACAAATTGCTACACACTTCAAGCACTGTTGTTAGTATCCACCAACATGCCCTCATTAGTGCAATGAGGAAAGTGTACTGCTACAGGGTTACAATTCCCAGCAGTAAGCCTCCCTAATTATTTAGAGAGGGGTGATCAACACTCTTTATTGTTTCGGTACTCTTTTGTTGGTACCCATATGTATACTTATAAGCCAAGGTCAAAAATTATCTATCTCCCATGAGCACTGTCAATGCTCACGTTAGTATCTGTTAATACAACCGGGGTGGCAGATTGAGGCAATGTGGTATGGGCCATTACCGACCCCTGACCCCACCAACCAGGACTAGGTTCCCCTATTATTTAGAGTTGCTTTCCAACCAGATACTCGACTTCAAACATAAAAACTGCCAATGGCAGCTTTTAAGTAAATATAAATAACAATACTAATTCTTATAAGTTTTTTTTGTTAATCATCAATCAAGTTTTTTTTTATTTTTCTTAACTCATTTTTCTTTCTATTTTAGGATCACATATTGAACATCCACAATTATCAGATGCTATGATTGAAGGTAGGCTTGTGTTTTGTGGCTACGATAAAAACAGTTTTAAGGTTTTTCATAGATTGACACTTTGTCTGAAATGGGTTACAAATTTAACAAAATGGTCACCCCTTTTTTTTTTGTTTGTTTTTATTATTCTGCCAAGTTGTCTTGGTAAATTTTGTGTCAACTTCAAAATTATTTTGGTGTGCAGGTTAGAAATATCTGTCAAGTAATTTTAAAACCTTAAAAATGCTTATGAGTAATCAGTATTTGAATAACAAACAAAAAATTTGATTGTAATAAAGTTTTAATATTTACTTGTATTTCTATCAGAATATATTTGATGGAGCAAAATCCTTTCTGCTTCTGAAGAATTAGAATTTAATTGCAGATAACTGTCCTTGGTGAAGGAAAACCCAAAGGAATTTCTTTCAGATTTCACATAGAAATCATATTTAATAAATTAAGATGCAAATCTCTAGAAAACTTTTAAGATAAATTTTCACAAATGTAGCACTAATTGTGGATGTATGTAGGCAGTAACTGTAAATGTATTTGTGTAAATGTATTGTTTATGATTTTACTTTATATATGTATTCAAAATCTGAAAGATATGGAATGTCATCAAAAATTGCATTATTGATCAAATAGAGATTAAATAATTAACTAAAAATTTCAGACAAATGTGATTGTCTTATTTTGTTATGGGCAGCCATAGCCAGCTGGTCGATCAGAAAAAGCATTCACTTAGAAAGGAGCAAAAATAGCATCATGTTTAGATGTAACAGAGTCTTTCTTTTTCAATTACTTTAAAGTACTTTCATTAAAAAGCATTTTGAATTAATGCAGTTACTGATATAACAGAAGTAGTCTGTATTTATTCAATCGAAGTTTGACGAGGACATGAAGGTGTAAAACAGGCAACATGAAGACCCACTTCAGACCACAATTATTTTGGAGTTTTTGAAATTCAATTTGTCAGTGTGCTACCAGGGATGTAAAAGACGATACATTTATAAAGCCGGTGTTAAGTTTGATGAAAATTAGTTGAAAGATCAAGGGAAACTAAGGAAGAAACCAGTAAAAATCACCATTTTTCATTATTTATATAGGTTTTCACTATATGGGTGAAATTATCAAGTTAAATGACTTAAACTATCAACTTATTGTTGGCTACAATTGAGTGAAGTTTGTATTATATTGTTTGAAAATTGAGGGAGTTTTTAGTTTAAAATTAGTGTTGAAACTGATTTTTCATTTTTCACTAAACGCAGTGGTATAGAAATAAAAATGAGCTCGTTATAATCTAAGTAACCTACACACTGAGTTTGATCAAAATTGGAGGAAAAAGTTGAATTTATCCATTTTTGATCGGCTTTATCAATTAATGATTTTCTTAGAATTATCGGTTTTCTTTTATGCTAAGTATCTATCTCTTACATTGCACAATGTATGTGCCAAGTTTGGTCAAAATCGGTTGGATGGATCTCTAGTGAAAAGGTTTCACACAGACATCTTCTGTTATATATATATATATATATATATATATATATATAGATTACTAATTTGCATGAAAGTCTTCCATTTAATTCTACAAAAACCTATAACAGAGCAAATTTCCAGCTACAAAAACGAATTTTTCTACATGAACACTGTAAAAAGAAAGCTTTATTGAGCTTGAATGGGGAGGCACGGTTAGACCATTTATTTATAGTATCCAAGTGAGAGAGAGCTCTTTAAAGGGAGACAATCGTCATCAAGAGAGGTAACTCTTGTTGGTCTATACCACAGTCACCACAACTAATTATGTATTTATGAAACACTCTTATTTTGTTGCTTGACTTCTGTTCAAGGCTGCCAGGAATGTGGTTTGTTTTACACTGCTGAAACACATTGACCACTGATTGTGCTCACATCCATTGTTTGATTTCTGAAAATATTCAGCCACCTTTGATGAATGTACATGGGTGCAATTTTTTCACTTTTTTCTTTGTGCACACTTTCATGTCGAACGCCAGATGGATTTTTATGCATGCTAGAGCTCAAAGTTGTCTATAATATGACAGGTATAATGTCCTCCAGATTTTAATAAATTTTTCATAAGATTGTAAGTCCAATCTGGATCATGCTGCCTCCTGTTGCATATTGAAGTGTGTTTTATCAGGGTTTCTCTGTATTTGCTAATTAGTGTCTTTTCAATGAGTGGTCTTTGTTTTTGAATAAATATTTTCTTTTTGTTTTTCTTTCAGATTTTGACATGAAACAGCATTTCCCAAATGTCTTACTTCTTTATTCTTCTGACTGCACTGCACATGAATGTGCTGTGCAGGCTGTTGCAGCTTTCCTTATGCAAATCTGCAATTGTAATGTGCACATCGACTTGTTTGAAGAACACGTTATTCAAGAGAAAGGTCTCAATGATTGGCTTTTGGACAATCTCCAAGAAGCAGAATACATTATGGTCCTCTGTTCGGTGGGTTCCAGGCTCCGGTGCAAGAAGAACATGCAGTTTCGTCAGGATCCACATCGGACTATACCGGATTACTTTGCACTTGCAGTTGACTATGTCGCTGAAAAGATGCGTATCGAACGATGCAAGGGTATGTCCCTGTCAAAATTTATTGTGCTCTATTTGGATTACTCAGTGGAAGGGGACATTCCGGCACAGCTGGATCTTGCTCAGAAGTTTCAGATGATGCGAGACATTTCGAGCCTTGTGTGTCATCTTCATGGACTCAGCTCGGAACGGTCTAAATTTTCAACATATCCCGGAATCACGGCTAAAAATTATGACAAGTCTGATGTCGGCCTTCGCCTAAAAGTCGCCATTGAACAAGCTAAGCAGTATTTTAAAGACAATCCCAGCTGGGTTGAGGATCACCTTGAACCTGTGCCACGACCTGTTGGCAGTAAATTTAAGCCGAAACACACCCGGCACAGTTCTGGGGAACCACTGTTACTCCCTGAACATAATATTGAAAAAACTTCCAATCAAAAACATGTGAACCGACACGCCTCTTTTTCCCATTATCTTGGCTCACAGAGAGATATCTTTGGAATGTATAATCAGGAGAGCCGTGTTCCTGTCACAAATTTGGTTCACTCTCGATTGAACTCGTTACCGTCATCATTAAACAGTCATGCGACCCTAACTCCATTTCCCCTCTCCACACACACGTCTCACAGTTACGAGAACATATCACAGGGCAAGAAGATGCAAGAACTTGACATGTTCTGTGCAGAGCCCAACATCTCTTTAACACTTTACCCTCCAATACAGCAGCAGCATCATAAACCACATCTTCAGCAGCAGCAGCAGAGTCCACAGTCAGAGGCTGAAGAAGGCTTTGATGTGCAGCGTGGAAAGAGCCGGTCACTCCCGGTGGTCAGCAGGGCAAATAAGTCACTGACCGTTCTTGAAGCAGAGGTTCATAAAGAGTGGGACCCTGAAACCAAACTCCTGTCTGGATCTCCTCCACCAGAGGCAGATTCGTCCAGTAACGAGGGAGAACTGGAATTAGACTTGTTGTCCATAAAAATCCCCCCAAATTTCCGGCATGTCTTCTATACACCAAACCAGAACTGTGTGGAGCTGCAACCATGCTTCTGTAGTAACAGCAGTGGCGTCGGCACTGGTGTCGTATACCGTCCAGCCCACAGAAAGGGTCTGTCGGTGTTGGGCATGGGGACTACTAATATGGGGGTTGGTGGGGGTGGAATTACAATAGGTCATCGGGGCAGTGAAGACAACCGGTCACTCTGTCGGCCATTTCCTACACTTGAGCCTTTGCCACGCTGTGTGAGTCTGGATGACGGCTCAACTACGTCATACGAATCAGTGATGGACCAAATAATGAATAGTGGACCTAACATATTGGATGGGCCATTTGTAGGCTAGTAACTTTTGATCTTTTATCATTGACTGGTGAACATTTTTTTTGTTTGGTGTCCCCAGTTTAGGGGTTGGGTAGGGGGGAGAATTTGTCATTTCATTTAAGTAAAAAAAAAACAACAAACAAAAATAGCCTTTTGTAGGCAAAAAAAAGAAATGAAACATTTCAGGTTAATAAATAAATAAACCTTTGTTATTTGTCAAAATGAGAATATTTGCTGCCATTTTTAAGGTTCCACTATAGTCATTGGGCATATTGTAATAATCGTCCTTTTTTTTTTTTTTTTTGACCCATTTAAGTTTTAGTTTGTAATGTGTGTGTAACAAAAAAAAACCCCTGAAAACCATACATTTAAAACAAAAACTTTTAATATTTTCTTTCAACTAACTTTTAGCCCATTTAACCTGTCAAGAAAAAAATCAAAATTTGCAAAAAAAAAAAATATAAAAAATAAATCACACACACACACACACACACATACATACGAAATTTAAAAAATTATCTAAAATTAATTCTCACAGTTGGTCTGATATTTGTGAGAAAAGGCATCATTGCCTTCCAGAAATTTATCCAAACTTTTTTTTATTTTCAAATTGTTCTTTACTCATCTCCATGTGGCACAATCAAATTAGATGTTTGTTTTAAGCCAAGATTTTTTACGAGAGACTCGTAAAATCTGTGACCAGTTGCTCCTCTCTTCAAGAGAAAAAAAAATCATGAAAATAAAAATTCATTTCATCGTAGAGTATGGTACATTCAGCATTTTATGCACAAATTTTTTTTTTTAAACTAGTGAATAAATCGGAGATTGTGCTCTCAAATTTTCATTTAATAGTTATCTCCCTTAAGCCCTCCACCTCAATTTGGATTTTTCTTTTCTAAATGAAAACTTTAAAATCACCCGGAAATTTCATAGGTCTTTTTTTTTTCTTTTTAGGATGCACTCTAACTGAATTTTTTCTTTGGGTTGGGGAGATTATTTAATTGAATGCATCTCCATAACGTTTTTTTTTTGTTTTTTTTTAATTGCTCTCAAATGCAGACTCTGCAATATTATCCAGTTGCAAGTCACATGGATTTTCATTGCATCCTTTAAATTAGCATATTTAAATATTGACGAGTCTCTCCTAAAAATTCATTAGCTCTGGCTACCATGCAATATTTTGAGGTTGCATACAGATATACAAATTCAATCTGCATTTATTTCTAAAGTTCACACAACCAATACTGTGCATTAATCTAGCTGTCCAGAAGCCGTAAAAGTTATGGTCAAGCAGACTTATACGCATTTAACACGTTATATTTAGCAAGTCTGAAAACTTTTTTTAAAAAAAGTATTAAATTTGTTTAGTTTTTAAACCTCAAGTGAGATTTAAGAGAGACAAAAAAATTTTTTTTTTTTTAGTTTTTTAAAAAATTTTGTAAATATTTACTTGGTGGCTGAGATAGTAATTGCTTGTCTAGTCAGTGGAAGATGTCCATATAAAAGTCGAGATTGTAACTTCTGATTTTTAAGAGAGGAATATGTTTCCCATGTCTAAGATAGGTACATAAAATCTTTCATCTTGTTTGTAGCCATGCTTCAAATTAAGCTAAATTTAATAAATATCTACAAAATAATAACCAAAATATTTAGCTTAGTTTTCATTTGAAATTTGATAATTAAAACCATTTTACTTATGCCTAGAAAATGTAGTTTGCACTGAATCCTGTGATTTTTCTTTCTATTCTCAGAAAGGGAAATTGAAAGAAACTTATCCAGCCATCTGTATTTTTCAACTCTTTTTTTTTTTTTTTATTTTAAAACATTATGATCTGCTTTCTTCAGAAACTTTTTTGAATGATCTATTAAAACATCCAATTATACCCTGAAAGTTTTGCACAGTGCATACAGCATTTTTTCCTCATACATATCTTCATTTCTAATTTTTTTCATTATTGTAAATAAGTGAAGTTATAAATATTCTTATAGAATAACTATTTAATGAACCAAGAATTATTGTAGGATATTATTTCACTTTGAACAAATCTACGAAAATCCCAGTGAATCTCACACTGCATGTGAACCTATTTACTCATCTACCTCAAGTGGGGGCCTTTAAGGTGAGTGCGGTACACATGTAAGAATTTGTATGCTAAAATTAATTCATTTCATTTTCACAGGTGTGGAAGTAAATGATTTTCTGTGTGCCAGACCCCCACTTAGCAATAGGCTTGTAGATATCATAAGAATCCTTGTGAAAATATCCTTTGATTCTGAACTAAACAGCAGCAGTTATGTGTCTTAATCTTAGACAAGACTTCTCATGCCTTCTACTGTCAGTTCTTTTATAAAATACATGTGTTATCCACCATATACTTAGGTCTACCTCCACCTATCATTGATTTTTGTAAGAAAACTAGCCATATTGGTCTCAAAGTTTTCATGGGACTGCCTGTCCCAACTATCATCCCAACTGAAATTGTTGCGGCATTTGAGAAGTCTACCTTTTCCAGACCTCGGCTGTATGTCTCACCGGTGTCCACACAAGGTGGATCATCTGCCGAACCACTGCAGCAACTGTACCAGAACATCCATTTGTCAAAGACTGTCACCAAAACCTACTCCCACCCAGGTTGTGGCAAGGTTTATTTCAAGGTTTACTCCTCTAAATCTGTTGTTTTCAGCAACTAAACAGGGGCACCTCAGGTTGGGAGCATCAGGAGTAGGACAATTATATTTCACTATAAAATGTACCTTTTTTTTTTTTTTTTTTTTTTTTTTAAACACCTTCATGTTTGACCCCAGTTTGCAGGGGACCAACTATTTGCCCATAGCTGGGACCCTAAAAGGTGCTACCATTCTGGGTCAGAGTGGACCTGGGAACAACAGCAATTAAGAGGTGGTTCCACACTCCTCAAAACCTCCAATCTCTCAATTAAAGGCCTTGCTGCCAGATGTAGTTTATCATCATACCCAGGACAAACTGCAATTCAGTGTAATTTCTCATCTTCATTGTGGTTGCTTGTTTTTTTTTTTTTTTTTTTTTTTTTTTTTTTAGCATACCAATTTGCTCAGGCCCATTTGAAATTTCTTCAACACCCACAGAACCAACCTGTGGTTTATACTGCAACTGTACTGAGCAGACCTTAGTTCAGATTATGACATATTAAATAGTCATAATGTTCTCAAAGATTACTATCTGCTTAAAGCATCTAATATTCTTTTTACCCAATGTCCACGTTACTTATATTTATTTCTTGCAACTACTGCTACACCAAATGGCGGCTGACAGGAAGTACATGTTATTCCTGGCATTCCAAATGGTGGCTGACAGGAAGTACATGTTATTCTTGGCATTCTAAATGGAGGCTGACAGGAAGTACATGTTATTCCTGGCATTCCAAATGGGGGCTGACAGGAAGTACATGTTATTCTTGGCATTCTAAATGGAGACTGACAGGAAGTACATGTTATTCCTGGCATTCCAAATAGGGGCTGACAGGAAGTACATGTTATTCTTGGCATTCCAAATGGAGGCTAACAGGAAGTATATTTTATACAAAGATACCTAATGATTTATAAAGAAATGAACAGTAATGATCACTTATGAACAAATGTTACTTGGAGATGAATAGTGGATTTTCTTTTTTATTAAATTCTTTACGGTTACAAAGAAAGAACAAGTTTTGAAAAAAAAAAAATAATCTGGACAAATTCCTTATATTGTCAGAGTTATATTTTTATGACAGATTTTTTTCTTTTTGTTTATGTTTTTTGTATTTTTATTTAAGAAAAATTATTTTAATTCTTGTTTGTCGTAGTTTTAAAACCTGACATTTTAACAGTTCTGCTGAACGTTTTTTTAAACACTGGAAGAATTTTTAAATGTTGACAATAGGAAATATTCTACCATACAGACATGTCCATACCCCATATGTTTATTCACTGCTGCTGTTGTTGTTGCTGTTGTTACATTCATAGAATTTATGCAAGTTGCAAATCAAAGTGTTTGTTTGTAAATATATAATAAGTTCTTATATAGAGGATGTTCCAAAAGTAGGTGTACTTTTAAAAAAAATAGTTTAAAATGTGTTTTATTATGAAATGAACTTATGATAAATTTATTAATACAAATTTTCAAATTGTTCCTCATCACTACTTATCTTTTTTTTATCACCAGTCGTTGGCATTGACACAAACTTTCTAAAGAAGATCTTTATTAGCATTGGTTTCTTGACAGACATTGATGATAAACTGTTTTGATAGGTTTGTGTTCAGGGTTTATGAGGTAACCTGATACAAAAGACATTCATTATTCTGTGTGCCTCAGGGGCCATCTGCAGGTAAGTGGAATCAACAAGTTAAAATTTCCAATTGACTTTTTTATTCATTTCCAAGGTGTGTTAAATAGAGATAGAGCTCTCTAGCCTTGATTGGCAACCAGTCTAGAAGAACAGTTCTGAATTCAAATTAATGGAATTGTGAAATGCCACTCTGTTAAGTCTACTTGCTACTTAATGTGTTACATAATGTTGTTGTGACCCTCAGTTAAGTTCAGTATGGTCTCAGTGACTGTCCAGTTGGACCTATGCAACCTGTCAACTTGTTAGGGAAGATTTCTAGTGTGGATTGAAGAAGAATATTTAATTCCCTCTCTCTCTCTCTCTCTCTCTCTCTCTATATATATATATATATATATATATATATATATATATATATATATATAAAAGAAGACTGTTGTCCCACTTTTGGGCCACTCTGAATCTTTGCATACACACACACACACACACACATATATATAATTAATACAAGTAAAAAGGTTTGTCACTTAGCTGATTAATATTACCTTTACCATCCTGACTCCAGTGTTTCGTGGGTGGACCTGTCCATCCACTCATTAGTGGGTATTGGCAATTGACTTATATATGCTGTTGGCGGCACTGCTTGCATCTGGGCATAGAGATCGTCATCCTCTTTCCCTATTCCCCTACCCCCAGGCCATAGATGCCTGTGAGTCCAAGA